TATCCTATCTGGCAGAGGGAGACAGTGGGGATGCTTGCCTATCTTTAAGTGGTGTGGAAAAAAACAAAAAAGAAATAAAATGTCTCCCCTGAAATGCCAAACCACATATCCACCTTCAGGCAGATTTGGTGCCAGAATTCATTCTTCTAGTATGTTCTAAAAATCCAGTTAAAGTAGTCATATGCAGTATTACCTCCAAGGTATCTGGCAGAAATGAAAGTAACTCTCCAAAGGAATAACCTTTAAACTCAGGCCTCAAAGAATTTCTGAGACAAAGTTCCTAGGAACTTTAGGCTCACCATAGGAACATGGCTCACAATAGAAAAAAGAAAAAAATCACGTAAGACACAAGGAAACACACCATCATGAGCAACAACGATTGACCGCACCTATTAATATGAAAAAATGTACTTATTAATATATATCTATTAATATTAATAGAAGAATGTTAATAGATTGGTGTGTATTTATAGGTCTACAAAAACACTCAAACTCCTAAAGATTGCAGATTTTTAAATAACTAAAGATAATGTAGTATATTGATTGTGTTTAAAGAAATAAAAGAGAGTACTGACAATGTGACTAGGGAGAAAGAAGCTATCAAAACTGATCACGCAGATTTGAAAAACAGAATTTTTTAAAATGAAAAACAAAATAAATTTGAAATTAAAAGGACAAGTTAAACATCAGAATAAACACGTATATAGGGAGAATGGTGAACCGAAAGATAAATCAGAAGAAATTACATGGAATCTAGCATAGAGAGGGAAAACATTATAAAAAGATAAAGACACATGAAGATAAAAAGAGAATATCTATCATATTTCTAAGTAGAGTACTGTATCTACCAGACAGGGAGAATGGAGAGAACTAATGGCTGAACAATTTCCAAAATTAATGACAAAAATGAGTCTTCAGGTTCAGAAAACACAATGAAGTTAAAGAAAGTAAGCAAAAAGAAACTTAAAACCTCAAAATATTCAAGTAAAACTGCAGAACACCAAAGGCAAAAAGAAAACAATATAAGCATCGAGATATGAAAGAATTAACTGCAATCAAATTGAGTTGACTTCTTGACCCCCACCCAAAACTGTAGACTAAAAAAAAAGAATGCAGTGCCCATTTCATACCCATTAGGATAGCTATTTAAAAAAATAAAATACCAAGTGTCGGCAAGGGTGTGGAGAAATTAGCACCTTTGTGCATTGCTGGTAGGAATGAAAAAATGATGCAACTGCTGCGGGAAATGATATGGTGATTGATCAACAATTTAAACATAGAATTACTGTATGATCCAGCAATCTCACTTCTGAGTACATACCCAAAAGAAGTGAAAGCAGAGACTTGAACAGATAATGGTACACCCATGTTCATAGCAGCATTACTCACAATATCCAAAAGGTGAATGCATTGACAAAATGTGGTATATACACACAATGCAATATTATGTGGCCTTAAAAAAGAAGGAAACTCTGACCCCTGTTACAACATGGATGAACCTTGGAGAGAAGTGAAATAAGCCCATTACAAAAGGACAAATATTGTATGATTCCACTTATATGAGGTACCTAGAGTGGTCAAATTAATAGGGACAGAAATAGAACGGTGGTTGACAGGAGCTGGGGCAAGTGGGGAGTGAGGGATTACTTTCTAATGCCTATAGAGTTTCAATTTGGGAAGATTTTAAAAGTTCTAGTGATGGATGGTGGTGATGGTTGCAGAACAATGTGAATGTACTTAATGCCAGAGAACTGTACGCTTAAAATAGGGTTAAAAGGTACATTTTATATTATATATATTTTACCATAATAAAAAAAGCTGCTGTGCCTCTACCCAGGAATAGTCTGCCACTCTTCCTGGGGTGTTAATATAAGAATCAGTCTTAATACTTTCCGAGAAGTCAACTCTGTCATCCCTTTCTAAAGCTGTTCTTACCACAGCACAGAGGTCAAAACAAAAATATTATCTAGGGGTGCCATATGTTTGTATAGCACTTTATATTTGAAGAAGGCTTTTATGTATCCAAACCCATTTAATCTCCAAACCCATTTAATCCCGTGACAGCCTTATAAGGTAAGTAGTATTACACCCCTCTAATTGATGGAAGACAGTGGAGCCTAAGAGATTAAGTTGTCCAAGACCACTGGGCTATTAAGGATGCAAAGGTTCAAATAACTTATCTTCTGACTGAAGCCATTGATCTCCCAACATACAGAAATAGTTGTCAACTTACTATGAACTTTACATTTAAAATGCCAAAAGCAAAGTGCTATGCTTGTTAAACTGAATGAAGAAAAGAAAAAGAAAGATAACATCATTACGTTCTCAGGAACCAAGGAACAATGATTACACTGAGTTTACGCTCTGAATCCTATTAACATATTTGTGGCTTTTTATAGTGCTCTAGTTCCAAGCCTTGGTCACGTTTAAACTCCAGTTGGCTATTTGTATTTTTGCACTTTAGCTTCTGAAAATACCCTTTAATTTTGGGGTTGAGGGTCTTTCCCTTAAAACTCATTGTCTTAGGTTGCAGCTGTTCAAATTTTAATTGAAATTCTCAAAAATTTTTGTCTGATTCCAATAAAAACAAGTAGCCAGGTTGTTCTCTCATTGTTATGCAAGAACTGTTTCATTTTTGGTCTTAAATTTCCTTTTTTATTGCTCTCCTTGGAGTGGATGGCTAATGTAAATGGGAGAAACCTGGCAACGCACCATCACTACCCTTAGCAATTATAGGAGCTCCCCGCTAGAACAAATGGCTGGGTCAGCGCAACCTCACGCACACAGCTGAGTTTGTTTCCCTTTGAAGACTGCCATAGATAAGTCAACTCAGAACCCCAACTCTCCTGCTTCCGAATGCTGACCCAGTAGCTTTCTCTGTCTCTGGGAAGGTTGGGAACCTCATGGAAGAGGGGTGACCTTTTTGCCACCCCTTTCTGTGAACAAGCCTCCCTGAATGTATTAACTGACAACATAGATAACACTCCCTGAGGCAGTATGCAGTAGGTTTCTCACAGTGGTGGTATTCAGTGAAAGATTCGAGATTTTGCACTCCCGTGTGCTACCAGTAAAGTAGACACTGGCAAGTTAAACACTGAAGGTTCAAAGAGAGGGTCCTCTCTTTGCCCTTTCAAGTTGTTCCAGCTACTGTGAGGTGAAAACTGGACAATCTTCTTACCATTGCATTTACAGCACAGATTCTGAAGTCAGATCTCCCACTTCATATATATTAAAATGTTTGAGAACACGCCACTTTAAAGTGCTCACAGCATTTTCTCTCAGAAGAGAGACCCAAATTCTTTTACAGTATTTTGCTGTAAAATTCATAAGCCAGAGCACAACAGGAAAATGAAGTACTTTAACAAAAAATTAACTCACACCTATCATTTGGACAACACCAGGAGAACTTTTCCCTTAGGTATATCTGATATATTGCTTTTATTCTCATAGCTTACATTTTTTAAGCACCTCCTCTGTGCCAGAAACTGTGCTAAGCACTTCACACACATTATGTCGTTTAATCCAGACCACAGACCAGTGTGGTAGATGCTAACTTATTCTCATTCTACATACATACACACAAAGTAAAGAGGTTGAGTGGACACAGAGCAAGTAAGTGGCTTGTTCTGTGTAAAATTACTTCTTCTGTGTAAAGATGTACAAACCTATCTCAAAGAGATTGTTGCCTTTTGTAACAACCCCGAAAAGAACTTCATAATCCCAATTTAAAGAATTTTCAGTATCAGTCTTCCCAACCCCTGTCAGTAGCTTATAGATTTTAGTATTTTCTTCTTTCAGCAGGGGGGAGCACCAACTTTCATATTATAATTTCATGCGTTTCATATCTATTTTGTTTTCCCTCAACTTTTCTCTTCTGCATGATTTAAACAAAAAATAATAACAGGAAATCTTGGTTAACATTCCTTCCAAGGTTGTATTCTCTAATGCCTCAGTCACTTTGCTTTCAATGTCAAACTTTATTCAATTTTCTATATTCTACTAAAGAGTGAAAGATATGAAGCACTTGTTATTTTTCATTGTGAAAATATAGCCAAAAAAATTCAATGGCAAACAAAAAAGGAAAGTATCTCCATGTTATGAATGAAGCAGACTTTTTTTTTCAGACTTTTTTTTTTAATGCTGCTTAAAAGATGAAGAACATTATGAGGTCAAGCTTGTTTTGAGAAAGGTGTTTTTTTAGGTATTTTATTCTGGCATTTATATAACTTCAACAAGATATTTTTGCAATCCATTTAACATAAAATTAAGAAGATGAACATCTACTTCATTCTCAGAATTTAAAGCGAATATAGGCTATGTATAAGAAATGGTTCCTGGGCTTCCCTGGTGGCACAGTGGTTGAGAATCTGCCTGCTAATGCAGGGAACATGGGTTCGAGCCCTGGTCTGGGAAGATCCCACATGCCGCGGAGCAACTAGGCCCGTGAGCCACAACTACTGAGCCTGCGCGTCTGGAGCCTGTGCTCCGCAAAAAGAGAGGCCACGATAGTGAGAGGCCCGCGCACCGCGATGAAGAGTGGCCCCCGCTTGCCACAACTAGAGAAAGCCCTCGCACAGAAATGAAGACCCAACACAACAAAAATTAATTAATTAATTAATAAACTCCTACCCCTAACATAAAAAAAAAATGATTCCTGCCCTGATAAGCTTATGATTTAGTGGTTGAGAGAGATAAACATACCAATAAATTTAATTATACCCAAGGCAGTACATATTAGGTCATTTTACCTTCCTTCAGGTTCTTTAACAAGACCTGAAAGTGTGTTCTCTAAAACGCATCTTGAATCTGTCCTCCACATCAGTGAAGCCTGATTTTGAATTTCAGAAGTAGCCTAATTTTATGCTTCAAAGATTAGAATCTGTTTTCCCTTCATTTATTGTCTGATTATTGTGATTAACTCTTAAATCCGGATTGAAATGCTGAGAGACACTAACATGTTACCCACTTTAAGGTGTATCTTTATGTTCCTCTTACACTAGAGTCATCGGAAATCGGGCCTTCCCTTGTGATTCACACCACTGTCTCATTTGGAGTTACATACTTGGAACACAGCACTGAAGATGTGCAGGAGTTAATCTTCCAGCAGCTGGAAAATATTTTGCCTGGTTTGCCTCAGCCAGTTGCTACCAAATGCCAGAAATGGAGACATTCACAGGTAATCAGAGAATCCAGTGGTATGTGCAGTTTTCTCAATCAGACCTGACTTTACTTTTTCTCATCCTTTGACACTCGCTAGTAAAAGAAATTAACATGATCTTGGGAGCAAATATGTGTTTGCCTAATAAAGAAGTTTACATGCAGGTTTTATTATCCTGTTATTTCTCAATAAGAGATACATATAATTTTCCCCGATGTTATGTTCAAATTCTAGCATCTCAAGACTTATATACCCTGAAGATCTGGGGTTTCCTATGCAGGCAAGGCAGGTTATATATCAAAATGCAGCTGTTTCTCTGGGGTTTTTCTAAATCAGTACTGTGGTTATATAGAAACCACTATAACCTCCCAAATTTTTGCAATATGTCGAATTAACCTTGTAAGTGTATTTTGCTACCACAATTTTCATTTTTATTAAGTTCCCACTTTGGTTTTGACTGCTGCCAGTAGAGCTGTTTGGGGGAGAAAGATGAATACCTGCAACAGCTAGTTGAGCTGTTTTTTCAGGGTTAGATAAACCTGCTGATCGCTCTCCTAGTTCAAACTTAAAATCTCTTTACACTAAGTAAATGTTGACTTTTTTGAAAATCTCTGCATACTCCAGCAGAAGTTTGTAAGTATTCATAGAAAAAGTCTTTTGATCTGTAAACTCAGTTGTGAAGTCATCTGGGGACAATGGAGCAAAGGACAGAAGGAGAAAAGAAGCAGTGACTTGTCTATTTTTTCCTAAGATTTCTGAGCACATTGATTACCTGACTTACCAGCACTATTGATTACCAAAGCTGTGAAGCCTTTAGAAAAAGTGGTTGTGAGAAATCGCAGCAGATTTTGTTTATTTTAAAGGACTTTCCAAAATCAGAGGAAATGGTAAATTACTTCCTAAAATATTGCAGCAGGTCTATGTGTTTACCCATATCTTCTCAAGTTAAATTATACACTGAACCTTCTGGGAAAATATTTACTTAAACACATCACGGTCACTTTAAAAGACTTTACTTTTTCCTTTTAAAACAATTTTTAAAATCTCAATAGCTAATGTCTTTAAGTGATATTTAACTTAATCTTAAGTTGGCCTGAAAAAGAATACAAAGAAATAATCTTGTTGATATAATTTGAAGGTAGATATATTACACAGCAAGTCACCTCGCAATTTATATACATTCTTCTAGAAGAAACGATAGTTTCTGAGTTTCTTCTTGTGACTTCCTCAAAATAATTTATTAATAAACTGAAAAGATGGGTTAAAATCTACTTATTTCCTAAAATTTAATGTGTTAGTAGAAATAGATTTGACTTGCCCACAAAATGACTTAGTCAAAGTTGTGCAATATCACAAAATTTAATAAAAAAAATCTTTGAACACGAAGTACATCCAAACTCTAACAATGATTTTTATTACAATTTGGATGTTCTCCCTTGAAATTATCCCAGTACATTTAAAGTCATGAAATCTACATTGGCTGCAAAGCCTGAAAGGGAATAAGATGTCATTCAAATTTAGAGGTTTGTATTTTCCACTATTCATAGTACCTTGACCAACATAACGTCATTATAGCAGAGATCTTACCTACATTGTTCAATAGAGAGAGTGAGAGAGAGAGATCTCCCATATCACCTTAGGAGAAAGGCTAATTAGTGACAGGTCCAGAGACTTAATAACATTTAGCTAGTTAGTGTTCAGTTATTATTCCTAAGAGAACGCTTCTCCAATGTTTTTAAAAGGTTCATCTTAACCCTTGAAATTTAACATAAATGTCAATTCACCCTTTTCTGTTGCCATCCCAGGACACAAGCTCTACCTGAAATGAATTCATGAATGTTTGTGTATAAGTATGGTCTAATATAGTGCTTAAACTGAAGAGAAGAATGGTGTAGAAAGAGGGACAAAAAAGAAAGAACAGCCAACTGATTTTGAAGTTTCCCTCATCTCTGATTCCCCTTGCAGGAGAATCCTGCCCTTTATTTCTTCCAGCCTGGGTCTCACCCTTCATTCCTTTTCCTCCTTCCTCTGTCCTGCTTCACCCATACCTTCTCATGTTCTTCCCTCTCCACCCACTTCCTTCCCTTCTTTCTCACTGACAAACAAATGATACAGCCCTTCAAACCCTCATTTTATAAAATCCTAGATAGATTACAGGACTGGGGTCCCTGCCTCAGGAAGCAGTGGGTGGTATGGATTCCCTATCCCAGGCCTCTCAGGCTGGACTCCCCATCTCCATGCATTTTATTTTTCTCTTCTTTTGTATTGCCTACCCTGCATCCTGGCACTCAGTGACTGTGGAGGGTAGGGAAGAAAAAAAGGAAGAGAGATCATAATGGTGAACACCCACATTGCATAGTGCAACAGGCCTGGAGCTGGGCGATTCAGAGATGTGATCTCATTTAACATCAAAAGTAGCCTTATGAGGTTGCTATTTTTAACCCACTACAGCGATGAGAAAAAACAAAGCCTCAAGAACATGAAATAAATTCCCTAAGGTCCCATGGCTAGTAATGACAAAACTAGTCTACCTGCCTCTCAGGTCCTTCCCTCCTCTTCACTGACCCTCCGTTTTGAATGGCTGCTGTAACAAATTACTGCAAGTTTGGAAGCTTAAAACAACACAAATTTATTATCGTACAGTTCTGGAGGTCAGAGGTTCAAGACAGGTCTCAGTAAGACCCTCAATGAGGGTCTCAGCTAAAATCAAAGTGTCGGCAGGGCTGTGTTTCTTTCTGTAGGCTGTAAGAGAGAATCCATTTTCTGGCCATTTACATCTTCTAGAAGCTGCCCCCAATCTTTGGCTTGAGACCCCTTCCTCCATCTTTAAAGTCAGCAACAGCAGGTCAAGTCCTTCTCATATTGCGTCACTCTGACCTTTTCTCCTGCCTCAGTCTTCCTTAAAGGACCCTTGTGATTACATGGGACCCACCTGCATAATCTAGGACACTCTCCTCATCTCAGGGTCCAGTGACTGGCAACATTAATTCCAGCTGTATCCTTAACTCTTTCTTGAGATTTAACACTTACAAGTTCTAGGGGTTAGGATGTAGACATCTTGGTGGGGGGAGCCTTATTTCTGCGTAGCACACCCTTCTTTCCCCCAGAATTCTTTGGTAGATTCCTTTATGAGGCAGTATCTCCCACTCCTCTCATAAAACCTCTGGGGAGAGCACCAGCCCTTTAAAGCTTTCAGAGCAGCCACTTTAGGAACCGGCTGCTCTCTGAAAGAGGTAAGGGAGTACTTTGTGGGGGGGCAGTTTTCTGTTTCCCTGATGATGCTCTTTGTGCCTTCTGCTGCCTCTAATGTCATATATCCACAGTGGCAGCAGGGGGGTGAAACATGGTTGTTCATTTATTCATTTGGTTAGTCGTTTATTCCATAAGCATTTAACGAATGCCTAGGACATGTCTAATACTCTGCCCATGGAATCCTAGAGACTAATCTTTGCTGAAAGCCTTCTCCTAAGACACTAAGTCAAATTTTTTGTCTTGAGTAGGATAACGCTGCTTTTTTGTGGGTGCTGCTTTTAAGGAAAGAGGCAGATCAAGAAAGAAGGCGTGTTTGAAAGACTTGGGAGCTGCTCTGTGCCTCCCATTTGGGGTTTGAATAAAACACTTGAGTAGGTGGTTCAAACAAACATAACAAAGCAATGGCATTTTTTTCATGATTCTCAGTTCCTCCCTTTTGCAGATATTTGCCTTCCATTATTTAAATGTTTATCCAGTTAATATAACTTGATGCCTAGGCTGTGATGCATTGAATTAAGATTTCTGTAACAAGTATGATATAGTAATCCATTCAGCAGAAGAGTAATAACTGATAACACCTTTCCATGTACATTGACAGGGGACACTTAATCAGTTTGATAACCCCAATACTCTCACCATTATTATTCGCTATGCCTTCCTTTGTTTCAAGTCTATCATGATGCCTTTCCCAAACTATAATAAATGTATGATTTGCTTGCGAGTTTAATGCTGATTTTCCCCCATCTTTCTGTAGTTCCTGAAAATTTCAGTGGCTTTTTCTCTCACTTAGCACATTCATGGATTACTTTATTTTTAAAAAATCACTGAATCTATTTCAAATACCAAGGAGATCAAGAGAGGAGTTTGATGGGGGGAGGAGAGTCAGGTGGTAAATGAATACCTTGGTATCTTTGGCAAAAATAAATGGATTTGGATTAGACTATTAAGCTTCTGCTGTAAAGTTAGAAATTAGTTATCTTCTACAGTTACGTTCTTTTCACTTGGTCTTTTGCCCTGAGACTGTACTTTCTCTCTCCTCAATGGCAGTCCTTTTATATTCTTTAAGGAGAAGGATGATGAACTCTTTAAGAATCTGATCAAAGCTATGAATATGAAGATGCTCATCCTTTCAAAATATACATGTACACATAAACACAAAATTGCATCTAATTATGAAAATTTATCAATATAAGCAACCTAAAAGTCCTCCCATGAATCCAGCATTAAGGACACCTGCTGTAAATGTTATACTCCTATAACCCAAACAAACCAAGAACCCCTCATTAGCCCAGTCTTGTGTTGTAGTCTAAGAGACAAAATTCAACGACCAAAAGGAACGTAAAATAATTCTCATCTTTACTAGTATCTTTTATAGAACTTTAAAGAATATCCAAAATTCATCATCCTTAGCAGTACTTTTTGAGGTTTCTCTTCTCATTCCTTATATATCCCGCTTCTAGAAGCTCCCTCAAATCTTTTCGCACCCTCAACTCTAGTTTTCCACAGAGTTTTCCCTGATAATCAGCCATGCAGGCTTATCTCTTTTTTTCTTTCCTCTCTTCAGCCTCCCATTCACATTCCTCACTTTTGACTCTATCTCTTTTTCCCCCCCTTAGATAAGTAAATCCTTTTCAATGCACATTCCCCATTTTGGCTTCCTCAGGTCTTCCCCAGTTGATTACCTTGGTTGACATAGTACTGCCCAGGAGTCAGAAGGAATAAAAGAGAAAAGAGGAAATGTGCAACAGCTTAAGGCCAGAATTTTCTTTAGAGGTTTGTGTTTGGTGTCTGGAGGGGGATGTGTACACAGAAAAGCCTGAGGTCACCCACATACTTACATTATTCCCTCATGAGATTAATTTCTGGCCGGTAGCTGTGTCTGATTTCAGCATTGGAAGATCAGGTGGTAATTGATATTTCCATTTTTTCCTTTTCTTTCTTATGTATTTTCTATCTTATCCTCATTTTCTTCTCTTAGGCAGGTTGCAACTGAAAAGCAGGGACTGACTGATTGTATGAATATACCAAAATTATGAATCCAAATGATTGCCCCCTTCAACATAGTCAGTCACCCTAATGAGCCACACCCTTATTTTAACAAGATCAGGCATCTCTTTCAGAGCCAGACACATATTCCTCAGCATGTAATCAGTTGAATCATGTCTTTGAAAGCTGAGCTTGAATTTAATGTTTTAGAAACAACCAAAGTCATTTGGACTTAAATCTTTTTAATAAATGGATGACCCATCTTGACAATTTTCTTAAATGTTTTTATAGAACTAAAGAAATATAGCTCTTTGTATTTAATCTGTTTTAATGTGTCTAGTAAGCGGATTCTAAAAGCTGCTACCCCTAAAAGACATTCGCCAGTGCATCACTACAGATTTAACCATAAGGCCTTCTAGGATAAGTGCTTTGAAAGACAATAATCAGTTGTGTTTATCAGTTAAATACATTAGATGTTTTGTTTTATAATTTATTTCTAGGATAAAATCATGCTCTTTTGGTCATTCTGCCACTAAGACTTTTCTCCCATATTTCTGTCTTGTAATTCCTGGATTTTTGATAACGTGGTGTGATTATGATCTTGGACTTTGGAGTCAGACAGACAGTCAAACCTCAGCTCTCCCTGTGCCTTTGAGCAAGCTAGACTGTAACTCTAAGCCTCAGGGCCCCATCTGTAAATGGTACAACTGAACCTCCCTCATAGGGTTGTGGTCAGAATAAAAGGAGAGAACACAGTAGAAAAACTAGCACAAAGCAAGTTACTACAAAACTAGCACGAAGCAAGTTCTCAATTAATATTATTAAACAGAGGTAGCAAGAGGAGGCGGAGAGGAGTGATTCCATGGTTATTTCTTAGTAGATGAGCTCTGTGTGTCTCCTGCTCTCTTTTCTGGTACCTCTCTTCATGCCCACATGCTGTCCTACTTTTTTATTTTTTCTTACTCTCTTCTCTTTTCAGAGTCTCTGTCTTTTCTCTTTGTTTCACATACACAAATAGTTCTGGACAAGGATATTTCAGAAGGACTGACTCAATGCCAGGGGCTGTGACACTAAGTCATACCATAGGGACTGTTAACATCAGACAAGATGAGATAAAAGTGGTGTATCCCTGTAGACACAAGGACAAGGAACTCTTGTCAGTTTTTTTCAGCTTATAGATTCTCAGTTTCTTGCCATTCATTCCGAAACTATCTTGTATGGTAATTTAACACAATTTATGACATGGGTCAAAATTTCCTGGCATGAAATTATGGCCACAAGAGCATTCTTGCCTATGTGCTGGAAGTTTATGGTAATATGGAGAGCCAAAACAGGCCCTTTGGGATCTGTGGACTATGGCATGACCCAATCTACCAAGAGCAGGAAATCTAACAGGTGTCAGTCCTGAGCATTCCTTTGAGTAATCTCTCACCTCTTTCTCACTGGCACAGAACTAGCCAGTTGCTTCACTTTATTCTGAGGTAACTACATATGCATGAGATCATCAGCTGAGAAATTCTGATCATTGAATTAGGGATGTTCAGTCACAGTTTAATTGAAGTTTATGGGCAGATATTTCCCCTTTTCATAAAATTCCATATTATATGAGCTAGTCAACGCTTTAACACATATGAATTTAATTAAATCATTTTGTTTTCAAGTACTCATGACAGGAACTTACCCTGCCATGTAGTTAGCATCACACTTTTTCAAAAAAGCTATTTTGAACAGCATTACTTTACAGAAAACTTTAAAAAGGAGTCTGTGTCATTTTTCCTGTACAAATGCAAAATATATTCATCTGTGCCCAGTATTACTACTGAAAACTGGATGATGGATGTTATTATATGGGTGTGGACAACCTAAAAGAAATAGGCCCTTTCCCATAAAGGGAAGTCCACTTGGTCTGTTTAGAGTAGACATCAGTATTATGCTCTAAAACTAACAAGCTGAACTAAAAAGTTCAGTTAACAAACGCTATTTATACCAACATTAGAAATTAATAATATATATTCATCTTTTCATTTAGCATACATTTATTAAGTTCCTACTATGTGCCAGACATTATACTGGATTCTAAAGACTCAAAGACAGCTCCCTTCATTCAAGGACCTTCCCATATAATCAATAAGGCTGACCAATAAGCAGGTAATCATGATATGGTACAGTTTGTTTTAAGAAAGGGATACACAATGGACTGTGTGCACACAGAGCGGATTTGAGGAGAAAGTGGTAATAAATAGCTTCCTAAACGAACATGTTATTTGAGCTAAATCCTACAAGATTAAGTCAGAGGGGCAAAGGGAATGATGTTGGAATGATGTTCTAACATTGTGTACACTTTCCCAGAGGCAGGAGAGTGCAAGATACATTCTTGTTTTTCATCTTGATCTTGCCATCATCTGTTATAGCATTCATATAAACCATGACAATCTACATCATCATTTTATTAGACAGTGTATATGCATAATCATTCTCTCTCTCTCTCTCTCTCTCTCAAAAATGCCATTTATTAATCCCCTACTCTGTGTAGCTCACTAGGCTCTGTATGTAACTCGCTTCATCTCTACCCTGTGAAGGTTTATACTTCTTCCCCATTGCATAGGTCAGAAAGTTGGGGAGTTGAGAGCTCAGTGCCTTGTGTGAGGTTCTTCCACTAGGACGTGGCAAATATGTAATTCAAACACAGGTCTATTTAAAATCTAGTGTTTTTAAACACTCACTCTACTGATGGTAATTGAGATCTGGCTTTCCTCCAATTATGACACATTCTTCTACCATCAATCTGTTGGCTGCTGTCAGTTAGAAATAATAATTAACGTTTATACTCTGATTTTAGAAAGTACTTTTATACTTGTTTTCATTTGATCCTCACAACAATTCTGACAGATCAGGAAGCATCTTTGTTTAAATGAGGAAACTAAGGTTCAAATTGACTGGTTTGCCTAACATGACGCAATGAGTGAGCAGCAAAATAGAAACTGAATATGTTACTTTTACATTCAAAAGTCCAAGTTTCACACTGTATACAAAAATTAACTAAAAATGGATCATAGACCTAAATATAATACCTTAAACTATAAAACTTCTAGATGAAAACATAGGAGAAAATCTTTACAATCTTTGGTTTGGCAAACGTTTCTTAGATAGCATGCAAAAAGCACAAACCATAAAAGAATAAATTGATAGGGCTTCCCTGGTGGTGCAGTGGTTGAGAGTTTGCCTGCCGGTGCAGGGGACACGGGTTCATGCCCCGGTCCTGGAAGATCCCACATGCCGCGGAGCGGCTAGGCCCATGAGCCATGGCCTCTGAGCCTGCACATCTGGAGCCTGTGCTCCGCAACGGGAGAGGCCGCAACAGTGAGAGGCCCACATACCGCAAAAAAATAATAATAATAAATAAATAAATAAATTGATAAATAGGACTTGATCAAAAATTTAAAAATGTTTTTGAAAGGCAGTGTTAAGAAAATGAAAAGACAAGCCATAGACTTGGAAAAACATATATCTGATAAAAGACTGGTATCCAGAATATATAAAGAACACTCACAAATCAGTAATAAGAAAACAAATGGCCCAATCATTTAAAACTGGGCAAAAGATTTGAAAGAGCACTTCACAAAGGATAGGTGTGAATTTAACCATGGAGGTGTAAGAGTTCTACAATGAAACCACAAAACATTGCTGAAAGAAATTAAAGAAGACTTAAATAAATAAATAAAAGTTATCTCATGTTCATAGATCGCAAGACTTAATATTTTTATGATGACAATATTATCCAAAGTGACCTACAGATTTATTACAGTGTCTATCAAAATCCCAATGGCCTTTGAAGAAATGGAAAAGCTAATCCAAAAATTCACATGGAATTGCAAGGGACACCAAATAGCCAAAACAATCTTGAAAAAGAATAAAGTTGGAGGAGTTACATTTTCTGATTTCCAAACTTACTGCAAAGCTACCATAATCAAAACAGTGTGGTAATGACATAAGAATAGACATATAGATCATGGAATAGAATCAAGAGCCCAGAAATAAACCCATACCTGTGGTGAGTTGATTTCTGACAAGGTTCCCCAAAACATTCAATGGAAAAGGAATAGTCTCTTCAACATATAGTGCTGGAACAACAGGATATCCATATACAAAAGAATGAAGTTGGACCCTTACCTTACACCACATGCAAAAATTCACCTAAAATGGATTGAAAACATAAATATGTGAACTAAAATCATAAAACTCCTAGAAGACAACATAGGTGGTAAATCTTTATGACCTTGTATTCAGCAGTGGTTTCTTAAATATAAAACCAAAAGCATAAGTAACAAGAAAAAAAAGTAGGTAATGTGGACTTCATTAAAATTCAAACCTTGTGTGCACAGAAGGATTAGCAAGGAAGTGAAAAAACAACCCTAGAATAGGAGAAAATATTTGTGAATCACTTGTCTGATGTGGGTCTACTATTCAGAATATATTAAGAACTCTTATAAATCAATAGCAAAAAGCCAAACCGTTCAATTTAAAACTGGGCAAAGGACTTGAATAGACATTTCTCCAAAGAAGATACAAATGGTCAACAAGCACATGAAAAGATGCCCACATCATTAGTCATTAAGGAAACACAAACTAAAACCAAATGAGATACCATTTCACAACCACTAAGATGGCTATAATTTTTTTAAAAAACGAAAAATAAGTGCTGGTAAGGATATAGAGAAATTGGAATGCTCGTACCTTGCTGGTGGGAATATAAAATGGTTTAGCCACTGTGGAAAACAGTTTGGCAGTTCCTCAATAAAACAAACATAGAATTACAGTATGATCAATCTATTCCAATACTCTGTATAAACCCAAAAGAATAGAAAACATGTGTTCACATAAAACTGGATACACAAATGTTCACAACAGCATGATTCACAATAGCCAAAGGTAGAAACAAGCCAACTGATGAATGGATAAATATAATGTGGTATACTCATAAGATGGAATACCATTCAGCCATAAAAAGCAATGAAGTTGGTACATGCTACAGAATGGGTGAACCTTGAAAATGTTATGCTAAGTGAAAGAAACCAGACACAAAGGCCTCATCTTGAATGATTCCATTTATGTGAAATATCCAGAAAAAGCACATTCATAGAGACAGAAAATAAATGTTTGCCAGTGACTACTAGTGATAAATTTCATGTTACGTGTATTTTACCATCCACAAAAAAAAAGAAGAGATGTGGATGGCAAGCAAGCACACAAAAATATGCTGAACGTCATTGGTCCTTGGGGAAACGCAAATTAAAAGACAATGAGATACCATGGCACACCTCCTAGAATGGCTCAGATCAAAAATTCATCCCCAAATGCTGGCGGGGATGTGGAGCAACTGGAATTCTCACGTATCACCGTGGGAGTGCAGCAGGGCATGGCCCCTTAGGAAAAGAGTTTCACAGTGTCTTACGAAGTTAAATATACACTTACCATATGACCCAGCAACCCCACTCTTAGGAATTTACCCAAGAGAAATGAAGTCATATATCCACATCAAAACTATATGTGAATGTTTGTAGCAGCTGTATTAATAATAGGCAAAAACTAGAAATATCTCGCATATTAATTACCTGGTAATGGTCAAAACTGTTGCACATCCATAAATGCAAAACTACACTGTAATAAAATGGAACAAACTGATAATATTTGCAATAAACATGAGTAAATCTCAGAAGCATTATCTACGTGAAAGAATCCAGACTCATAGGCTACATACTATATTATTCTATTTGTATGACTTTCTGGAATAGGCAAAACTGTAGGGACAAGACACTCACGCCAGGGGCTGTGATTGGGTGAATGGGGTTAACTAAAAAAAGAGGAACAAGGGAATTTGGGGGAGGCTGATGAGAACGTTCTCTATATTGTTTTATAGTGGTAGTTACACAGATGTGTACGTTGTCAAAATTTACAGAACAGTACACATAAAAAAGTGAATTTTACTGTATGTAAATTATACCTCAATTAATCTGACTTTAAAAACCACTTGTTTTTTTAACCTCCACTATTGTCTGAGGAGCACAAGCATTGACCCTTTTATTTTCACAGTATTAAAAGTAGAAAGAAGGTTGTTTCTAGACCTGAAGATCAAAATGGCTGCAGTCTTTTTGCCATAATTTCAGAACCCAACCAAAAAGCTATTGGGTCTGTTCAACATGAATGAGGACCAGAAAGAAATAATGGCCATGCTTCTGGGTTGTCAAGAAGAAGGGAAAGGGAGTGGGAGAAGGGATGAAGAAGGATTGAATTAGTGGGAAATTAAGCAGCTATTAACTTAAGTGGGGGAGAAGCAGTGATTAGACTCAGCTGAGTAGGAAAGATTTTTTTTTTTTTTTTTTTTTTTTAAGTTTCTCTCTCGACTCAAAATATAAAGCATTTTTGGCCCTCTACATCCTTGGAGCCCAAGCAATTGGATCCTTTGAGAGATTGTGATGCAACATTTATATTTAGATGAAAACAAAAGGATTCAAGTCTGTTAAATCACCTTGTAAGTAGGAACTGGTTTTTGTACCCTCACACCTTATACAGTGCTCGGCAGCTACCAGGAGCACAACAAATATTTGAAGAGTTAATGAATGAATATACTAAAACTTGCTGAAGGACAGAACGACTTTCTATTAAATTAAAAACTTTAAAGGGAAATGTAATACGACTGTTGTTTTGTCCATTATTACTGCCACAGTACTACAGAGAAAACAGTATCTCATTCTTTATTGTGTGCTTGTTCTGAATAAGTCATCAAAGTAGACTGCTCCAGTGTTTTCAGGACTTTAAAAGACAGAATAGGTCTAAAAGAATTCAATGTAGACATCACCAATTGAATATACAATTTCAGCAAACTCTGTCCTTTGCAGTTCGAGCCCGCTAAAGCTGCTACATGGATCGTAGAATTGATTTGTGGCACATTCTGCCCGCATCTACCCAATGTTTTGTTAAAATAGAATAGACAAATACCAATAAAGAGAAAAGCTACACTGAGAATTGACCAAACCACATCACCTTCTTCACACCTAGGGTATTGCAACCAATAGTAATTTTACAGCAGCTCTCTGTGTACCAGATACAGAGCTCTGTAGCCAGAAGCCCAAAATACAAGCAAACCTTTCCCTAAAGCACAACAAAGAAACGGGTTTATGAAATCACCGTTAAATATAATAGAACACTGGAGAGATGAGTAGAACAGAGGCAAGATAAGATGATGCACATAACACATAAGAACCAATTTAAAATGTACCATCTCTGCAGGAAATCAACCATGTGTTGATAAAGCTCTTTATGAATTTAAGTACTATAACATAATATAGGATTGAGAGCCTCAAACACGAGTGACCAAAAGAGGTACAATACTTTTTAAGGAAATATACCTAAAAATAGATTAAATGGTATCATCGGCACCCTGAATGTATCATTATTATCCCAGTTCTGAGTATCACTTATCTTCAGTAATATGCGGTATATGGTTAAGAAATAATCCTTATCAACACTTTTCTTAAGAATGTAACAAATATATTCCATATGTCTGTGATTTCTGGCTGTGCCACAAAAATCTGCACATGGGGAGTTGACTCTTCTAAGAAAGAATTTTTAAAAGATAAAATAATTAGACATAAATTGGCTAGGTCATCCAGAAAAATTGTGTTTTTTATCCTTTGTCACACCTGTAGCTTTCAAGAATGTATTTACCATCTCTGAGGGAAAAAGTTATTTAGAGGATTATTTAGACTTTATGTCTGTACAGGCTCAGCGCAGTTTAGCTATAATCTGTGGAAATAGCATAGACTGTGTCACTATGGTCTCCATCTTTTGAAATAAAGGCAGACATCTGTATATCCCTTTATACACATGCATAGGCATTCACACATACGCACTCATCTAGTTCTATTTTATACCCCTTTCAAGGTACTCTTTATACAATGGCATTTTATGAGATGAGGGTGAATTTTCTGGGTATGAAACCATCTTTACTACCTATCTGAAGTTCAGACTGATTCAAATATTCCTAGTGCTTTTGCCTGGACTCCACAAAATGTGAGCTAGAGATAGAGAATTCAGCTTTCCAGGAGTGATGACGTAAGTGTCAGCGCAAGGATTATGGACACCAGAAGAGTTGTTTCCTGGACAATGAAGTTGCTCAAGAAAGGAGTTAGAATGGTGAGGTGTGATGACACAGAAGGAAAAAGAAAAATTCAGAGACAGAGAAACCAAGGGAAGTTATTTTCATAGAGAAAAAAATTCCACCACATTTAAAGACCACTTGAACACTGAGAATTTAAAGCTTTCAAAAGTTTGAATTAGTTTTTTGTTCGCCCGTGTACATACATCCTTTGAGCAAACATTTATTCGATACCTACCATGTACAATGGAGATGTAAATGGAGATGCTGGAAATACAAGAATGAATAAAACACAGTTCCCATAGCTTTCTATTTCTGAGGACTCAAAAGGCTTTTAAAAATCAAATCTCTCTTACCAAGTTGTAATTTGGTGAGTTAAATGTAGAGGAATCAACGACATCTTACTGCCTTTTCATCAAACTCCAGAGGGACCTTAAAAAAAATAAGAGAAAAAGATAGACACATTACATTTTTAATTTGGCCAACAGAAAACATTTTGTACTGTTAAAAAAAAAATCTGTATTCAACTTTCATTTCTCATATCTCCCTTTCCTGTATCACAGAAATTTACTTAGGGGTCAGTAGAATTTTTCACTATTGACACAACACTACAGTCTCATCTTTTTCAGAGTGCCTGGACTAGTTCCCCATCTATAAATATGTAAACAAACATTTCCATTGACATCAGCATAAGTTATGGTCTCTCCTTCATTTATTTACATTTCTCCCTGTTTTTGTAAACAGGCATATATAGATGCTTATAATCAATGCCTTGGGAATACGGTAAGAATGGGAAGACGTAAACAGAGAATCAATACAAAACACATTTACCTTCTAGGTACTTGCAATTTGGAGGTAGGTATGTATTCCACATTTGATTAAGTCTTTTTCCCCCATTCCTATTTTTCTCCACACCTTTTATGATTACTACCTGAAAATTTCGCTTCAGGTAAACAAACAAAATGTTTTACCCCAGATTCTAGGTCTATCTAGATTAATATTTGTATAAAAGGGAGGTTGTGCAAGTTTCTGGGAAATAAGTTTTGCACAAGATTTTATTCCATTTTTTAAAATTACTCATCCACTCACCAAGTCCAAACTTAGGTTGTCCAGTGTTACCTGAGATTACTGATAGTTTTTCAAAGCCAACCTTTGCTTCTCCCCAACCCCTCTTTTACGGGCAACATTCCTCAGGCTGACAGAGACTCTGCTCTGAGCCACATCAGGCACCTCAGCCCAGAGCAGTGGTTCCAAGCGTGTTTACTTCATGGACTAGTAAAATCCCTCTAACTATTTTGGGAACCAATATAATATTGCTATCTTTTTATTCTGCAGTTAAGAATTTAAAAAGTAAAACATAGCTACAAGAATTTAATGCAAAGAATAACCCACCCCAAAATATGTAGTAAAGATATCACCTCATAACAATTTATAAACAGAATACATTTTGCTCTATTAAAAAGTTCATAATTCTTATTTTTTCTCTTCTTGCCATAGATTGACTTTTGGGAACCACTACCTTTGAGCTTTGCATAGGGGCTCTAAAAGAATAAGTTAACCAAATATTCAATTTCTGCTGTTTATGTACTATGGCACGGGTTCAGGTTTACACTGGCAGCAGAGTAGAGGAAGTGAGGAAATGTATGAATCAGCTCCATACCATCTCAGGCCTCCTAGCTATTCATATTGCCCGTGTGGTCAGTACCTCACAAACACAATGGACAGGGGAAATGCCAACACAAAGATATTATTACTCAGAGCTTACCCCAATCAAGTTAGTGTGCAACTAGGAGACAATAAGATCTCCTTGAAATCCAGGGACAGTTTAAGGAAAGTCACCCTCTGACATTGGAATTGATTAAAAACCGATTCAAAAGATGTAGTGTGTGTATCAAAAGCACTAGTGATGGTTTAGACACCTCCATCTGCTGTCAAGACTCAGGCATACCCAAGTTTAAATAAAGTGACCCTGAAGAATGTAGAGCAACATAAGCAAACAATAAAATTACCTACAGTCTTTTATAACACCAGAGCGTTTTTTTAATGTGAATTCTTTCAAATGCAATTGAGAAATAGGAGGGCAGTAGTACCACAGGGGAATCGTATTGGTTTTGTACATGTTTACGTTTTCTCACAAGCAAACAAATATTTGCTTCAGCAAATATGAAAATCTTAAGAAAAAAACTGAAAAGCTCCAGAGGTCTCTTCCTTTAGTGCCATAGTGGCCGCTACAGAGGCCTCAAGAACCACTGGGTTTTCCACCATGTTATGCTCTTCAGCAAAAGTGTAAGTGCTGATGAAATAACATTTCCCCTTTGGTAAAATGATGGACTGATGAAGAAGGCTATATCCTGGATATTTTTAATTTTGGTCAAATTGGTCTCTTCTAGAAGCAGCTTCCCCTCAGGACCTATTACATCTCAAAGGAGGAAGCATAAGCCCCAGAGTTTAGGCTGCAAAGATGTCCCTAGATTTAGAGGCTGGGAAAATGTTATTAATCTTGCTAGTCACTTTACTTTATTGTTTTTGTTAGTGCTTTCAAAGTTCTTTAGGTTTTGAATTACCTGCACCAACTCTATCTTCCTACAAGCCCTGATACTTGTAACACACAGTTTTATAGAACTATGGTTGTAGCCAAAATATATGTATTTTATTTTCACCCAGCAGTCAAAGACCCGATGTGACCCATGGAAGGGCAATGGTCTAGAAGGAGGTTACTAGAAGGTTATTAGAAGGAATTGGAATTGAGCTTCCAGCATCATTAGAGGAAATGGCTCCTGATGTGATTCTAATTCTTGGCATTGAAATATCTCTGCTTTGGACAAAGGCAATGCATCAGACTCTCCTGGCTTAACGGGAAAAGCGGGGAAAAAAACAGTAAAGAATATTTAATTCTCTTATTTCTAATTACGTGTTTGCTCTGCAATCTTCTAATCCAGGACTGGTATATAGGATTCCTCTCAAGTGCCAACTCCAATTGACTGGTAGTGGCTGCCTGAAGCAATGAAGTGAGAAGGATGCTGAGGCCCCTTCTGGGCTCAGTGGAGAAGAATACCACAATTGATTAGTGATGTCTGTCAGGAGATACCGCACATGTGTCACCCCTATAATCTGTGTTACAGTTGAGGAAATTTGCCTACTAAGATGAATGGTCTGGGCAGACAACAAGATTCGGTTCTGGAATCGGTAAATTTACCTTTGTGAATGAACAGATCGATTTTGTGATAACCAGTCCATCTCTGTCAGTTTCACCTGAGGCTGCTCATTTGGGTGAATTGAGAAAATGGAGGGTTTAAACCAGCAATGCTGAAGACCTTAGAAATCCTGACACTGAGATGCTGCTTGCCTGAAAAGGCCCTGCTTAAAGGATCCTGCCATTCAGTATCTTTGTCCTACTTATGCACTTACTAACTAGTAAGTTAGTAAATGCATAACAAGTACTTCTTCTCTTACCCTATTTAATATTTGCCGTATTTTATCAATTGTAAGATGCCATCAAATCGGTATGCACCAGGAGACAGTCAGGATGTAGTGTTCACACATGTGAATTTGGTTATTTTTAGTGGTCTAACAGTGGGACCACCACCGCAACCCCTTGATATTTAAAGTAACAAGTGATTTAAGGACCATTTGAGAAAAGAATATGAGCCTTGGTTGCTCCCTAAAAACCTTCCTTTCCCACTGGAGAGAAAGTGCACAATCAGAACTTGGAGAACAGGTATCAGCGTCTTGGAGGAAAACCCCAGAAAGGACAATTCAGTGGAGCACCCTTGTAAGAAACGGTGCATGGCCAGCACTCAAGGCTGCACAGAGGACAGATTGTGTGGGGAAGAGCATATGGACATTGACACCCTTAGTGAAAGCATGCTTCACAGAAGTCAAACTCTGAATGTGAAGATTCTGGAAAAGCTAACCAACTTATTCCTCTTTTATTTCCTTTTTATGTTTGCAAAAGATCTACATGTAGATAATTCTAAAAGAACTTCTCTAGTAAGTATAAAATAAAGCTTTGGGTCATGCTGACACCATTTTAAAAAATTTCTCATTGGTACTTAAAATATTGATGATGCCTTAGCTTCAGTGAAATGCAGTGTAATCTACATCCATAGCAAGCTGTAGCAAGCACCTGATTGTTCACAGGTTGTCTAAGTTCTCTCAAGTTAGCTGCACAGCTAGGATTAAAGCTTATGAGACCTTAATTCTTGCCTAGGTCACTTGAATATCACCTAGTGCCATATTTCAGAAAGTAAACAAATGGGCTGAACGGCCAACTAGAACGGGTCACCCTAAAACAGAGCCACCGTGTAGGCCAAATCAATGAGATTGTTCTATGGGTAGACTTCTGACAGTCCAAGGACAAGCTTTAGCTGTCAACATAGGTTTGGAAGAAAGAAGGTGCATTGTCATGTGTGTCACTGAATTTTTTTGCTAACCATCAACTATAATTTTGTGGAAATACCCATTTAGCCTACTTGTCTGCCTCCCTCTTTCTTTTCATCTTTAATTTCATTCTTACCCACAAGGGACTATTTTTGTGTGACTTTTCACAATTAATAATCATTATAAAAAGAAACTATTAGGTTAAATCATATAAAAGTGGACAGTATTTTACCATTTCTGACCTACAGAATCAGCAAATTTATGTAGTTTAATTTAATACATGACATAGGAGACATTCACATACAGCAGTTCGCAGAGACATTTATCATTACCGAGAGCCTTCTAAATACAATAGCTCTTCCATTTGAGCTTCTGCCAGCTCTGCGGGAGCCACTGAGCAACACTTCTTGTGTAGCTGGTCCCCTATGAACACCATTTGATCAACTATGTGTATGATATTCTTTTTATAAACTCAATAAACATTTATTGCACACTTCATGTGGGCTAGGCACCGTTTTCAGCCTTGGGTACAAAGATTAGTGCATCACAGTGTCCTCACTTTTCAGAGCATGCAGTCTAGGAAGGGAGACAGGCATGGACATAATTACAGTGCAAAATAGCAAGTAACATAATAGATATAAATAACATGCTGAAAAGGCACTTACCCTGCCTGGCAGAGCAAGAAGACCTCTGAGCAGGTGACATTTGTGCTAGTTCTTAAAGGATAAGCAAATTACTTGGCAGGAAAGACAGGGAACAATACAACATCACTAAGCAGAAATGACTTGTTCAAAGTCACAGAAGCACAACAAAGGAGGATGTGCTTGAAGAACCTTAGTTTGAATGTAGATAGGACACATGGCAAAAGTGAGAGAAGCAGCAAGAGGGCAGGCTTGGATGGAGGTAAGACTGGGTTATGAAGGGCCTTCCGTGGGGGGCTGAGTTTGCAGTTTATTCTACAGGTGGAGAGGAGTCACAAGACACACATGGGTTTAAATCTCTTAGCTATAAAACTGCTTTTTCTGCTTTGAATTTGTATGTCCAGTCCAGTCATCACCTAAGTATATAGAACCATTACATTAGCGACCCACAGTATCAGCTGCTGCAGTCTGAGTTCTTTCTTACCCGCCCTGGCACACACGTGAGCCCAAGCATCCTGGATTTCCAAGGGGTTGTTTCAGTCCTGACATCTCTCTTAAACACAGTCATTGAGCTGTGGTTCCTCACTGTGGCTGGAAGCATAGCCAAAGGCTGCATTACTGTGAGAGATTGTGGCTTTGACAATTACGTGCTGCTCCACTGCAGGGCCCTCTACTTCACATGGGTGAAGGAGGCTGCCAACACACCCTTCATGTTTTCATATTTTCCTCACTGGGTAATTGTAAAATGGGCGAATCCACCTAAATGCAGCGAGATTGATTTCATCCCGACTGCAGACTGGCTAATCAGTGGCCCAGTTTTCCAGCCGTGTGATCTGGCATCTGGCACTTACCACTCATCAAATGAAATTACACAGCACCGATAAATGACCACCTCACCCCTAGGCAGAACCTTTTTCCTTAAGCTGCCTCCTGCTTAATACTTGTCTAATGTTTAACACCATGGTTTATCCATACAGGGATGTCAGCCGGAATGTATCAAAACTTTACTACAAATGGAGATTTATATATGTGTGTGTATAAACATAGACACACATATAGGTATATGTATATGAATATGTATGAATGATTTATCCCATTTATGTGAATTTTCCAGATGACTATTACACATTTTTGTTTTATTTTACTTAAATTAAGTCTTTATGGAAACATTTCTGAAGGGGTTGGAGGGGCGAGTTCAGGAGTTCTGCTTTGTTTGAATGTTTGTTCACCTCTGAGCTTTCCGTCCTCAGGAAAGTAACAGTCTTTCTGAGTCTCAGCTTTCTCAGCTATAAAATGAGAATAATAGCAACTACCTCATAGGTTGCTGTGTGAATTTAGTGGGGTGTGCGTGTAACGCATTTGCTATGCAGTGAACATTCGAGAAATGCCAACAATTAATACTTTATGCATATTAGAGTTGATTCTGGAATATTGGGGCCTTCATCATGAGCATTAATGATTGCAGGAAGACTAATAGCTAGTACCCTTGGGGACTATTAAGAGCCAGAAAGTTATTTGCCCTCCACTAAATGACCCCAGACTGCCAGGCTTTTTCCCAGCCCTGTCTGGTTTTCGAGTGTTTCTACAGCATCCCTTGCTTTCAGACTACGAATTGTCATGTTCTAAAATCGCTAATATATAGGAGCCCAGCAGTTTCCTTTCTCCCTTAGTGTTTCACCGACAAATCAAATCATCCAACTTGTTTAAATTCCATCTAAAGCAGGAGATTAAAAAGCTCCGATTGAACACCCAAGTCTGTGCTTCAGTGTCTGTACTATGTGCTATCTATTTTAGCCACTCAAAGGTCTTTTCTACCCATTTCAAGGCTATCGGCTATGGAAAGACAAATATTGCACAATCTCACTTACATGTGGAATCTAAAATAGTCAAATGCATAGAAGCGGAGAGTAGAATGGTGATCGCCAGGGACTGGTGGGAGGGGAAAATAAGGAGATGTTGGTCAAAGGGTACAAAGTTTCAGTTATATATGATGAATCAGTTCTAGCAATCTAATGTACAGCAACATGACTATAGTTAATTATACTGTACTGTACACTTGAAATTTGCTAAGAGAGCAGATCTTATCAATTACCTTGACTATGGTGATTATTTTGCGATGTATACATATAATACAACATCAAGTTTTACATCTTAAATATATACAATTTTTATTTGTCAATTATACTTCAGTAAAGCTGGGGGGGGAAGAAATTATGATTCAACATAATAAATTAAAACTATGACCTAATTTTCTTAAAAGATTATCTGCGGGCTTCCCTGGTGGCGCAGTGGTTGAGAATCTGCCTGCTAATGCAGGGGACACGGGTTCGAGCCCTGGTCTGGGAAGATCCCACATGCCGCGGAGCAACTGGGCCCGTGAGCCACAACTACTGAGCCTGCGCGTCTGGAGCCTGTGCTCCGCAACAGGAGAGGCCATGACAGTGAGAGGCCCGCACACCGCGATGAAGAGTGGCCCCCGCTCGCCACAACTAGAGAAAGCCGTTGTGCAGAAGCGAAGACCCAACACAGACAAAAATTAAATAAATTAAAAAATTAAAAAAAAAAAAAAGATTATCTGCTATGTCTATGATAGATGATATTGCTATCAAGTGACCTCCAGAAAAGTGAGGGGATACTTTTAACATTTTACATTTGTATCTGATACAGGTCTTTAAAGGTCCATATCTTAAGTGATTCAAGAAGGAAATAATTGTACCACTTCTTTTTTTTAAAGCAAAATATGGCATATAAATAAAAATATCTATGCAAAGTTTTTCTGGTTTTAAAAAATTATAAAAGCATATACTAACTCAGCCTATCAAAAACCTAAATCAGCTCCATAATCCAAATAGCATTTATGCATTTCTTGATTTTTTTGGTGTGATTTTTAAACAAGCAAATCCTCATGGGCCTTATTCTATTACTCTTCATGAAAACACTGTATAAGGGAGACCAGAACTGCCACGTTGTAGTCTATGTGTACGGCGCCCCCTGAAGTTGTGCGGGAAAGTAGTCCCAAGTGAGATTGCCTTTATAATAGCTTTGTGTAATTTGGTTTTTTAGGGAGTTTTTGGTGCTTCAGTAGCCAAACCACCAGTGTCCAAGATAAATACATTCATCTCCAGCTCATTCCACTTGCTGTGAATGCTTGTTAGCAACATACATGCCAATTTAGAGAATAATTTTTCCAGGAAATAACCTCTATACCTTTTTCATCATTTCAAATATTATAAACCTGGTTCTACAAAATAAAATAAGTCCCAGACTTCAGCTGATTCTCCCTACTGTTGGCGCATATATAGTAAATTCTAAATTCTTAATAGACTTTATTTATAAATTTTGTGTTTTTAAAATTTGAAACACAATATTCCTCTTATTTTGCCTCTCAGTTATGTCCCTTCCTCCTGTCAGCCCTCTCCCCCAACACACACACACACACACACACACACACACACACACACACACACACACTGTGACCTGCCCCACAGATTCCTAAACAGTACCCATAGACTGTGATGTTTACACATGCTTCTCCTTCTCTTTGGAAAGCCCTATACCTGTTTCCTCCCCTGGCAAACTTTTATGTGTCCATCAGAACTCACATGAAGTGACCAGTCATGCCCCTTTGAAGCTTTCTCTGTCCTCTGTCAGGTGTGCTGGCCTCCTCCCATGTGTTCTTATAGCACATCGCCTTTCACTCTGTCTTAGGCCTTAGACACTTATGTGCCAGCAGTCATGCTGAACTGGAAACTCCTTAAGGACACGACCCTTTAAATCTCTTTTGAAACCTTGTCTGGCACATAGCAGGTCCTCAATAATAGGTGAATGATTTCATGAATTTTGTTCTCCCTAATGAAAAGATTAACTGTACTTTCAACTAATTTAGCAGATCATGACCTATTAATTTTGAAGTTCAATACACTTCTGGTTATCTTATCAAATAACTGAAAAAGTAAACATTTAAAAATTTCAATGTAAACACTTGGGCGAGAACCATGCAATTCTTCAGCTCTTCCAGGGAGACCAGATATGGTTACATTTGCACAGAGGAGCAATTTATGGAACTAGTTGGAAATATTCTATGTTTTCAGGCTATCTTCTTTACCAAGATTGAAAGTCAGCACATAATTGACAATAAAAGGATATGGTGTTCTAATTAGTGGGAATAAAGGAAAAGAAGTCCTTGCCCTTGTGACTGATTGGTTTAGGAAAATGTTTCATTCATAGAGGAAGGAGGAGGTCCTCACTTTTTTTTTCCTCTCCATGGTGAAAAATTTCAAGCTGAATGACAATTAGCACTAATCTGGAACTTTATAAATTGTGATGTAGCCTTGCTAGTCAAACTGTGAGTGTGTGTTGTTTGCACTTAATCCTTAACTTAGCCACGGGGCCTTGGCTTAGTTTTCCATCGCTCGTTGTGAAACACCTTGATTTCTCCAGGTAGAGAAACGTTCCCCAGGTGGACACTGACGTGACAGCACAACAGAGCACAGAATGTCAATTTCAATTATTTTTTTTAACTTTTTCAGGTTACAAGTGCTGCTGCCGACTCTCCCGGTCAAATGACTCTTCATCGCAAACCTTTTCTTGTGTGCGGAGGGGATGGATTTACTCAGTCCAGCTTTGATGGCTGCATCACTTCTGCCTTATGTGTTCTGGAAGCTTTCAAGAATCATATTTAGTACCTGTATTCTTATTTTTTACATGTACTTTGGGGTTTTCACAATTTTCTGTCATTGATTATTTTGTTTTATATTTTGTTAAGAGAAATTACTGGAAAATTGTTCTTTACTGATTGTTATTTTTCATATGGAGTAAAAAATCAATTTTATAATTTCAATAGTTACAAGTCATGCTAGAATGAAATTCCTTGTACTTTATACTTTTCTCCACTTTTCTGAATTGCCATGTCTACTCCTTGTTGGAGGCAAAGTAGTGCTTAAGAAAAACAAATGACTCTCCCCCCACATTATGTCAAATCAAAGTAACAGTTCATGTTCAGAAACCTTTATTATTCTTTTGAAAATTTCAATCCCAAGTGAAGAATAATCATTATCAAGGCCTCATTATAAATCTTCAAGTATGTCCTTGATTCAGTATTTTTACAAATTGCCAAACTACAAGATTCCTCCAAACTGTGGATAACAGAGTGTAATTTTTGTTTCTCATTTCTCTTCCAAGTTATTAAATGATCCTGAATTGTAGGTCACATATGTCATCATCTCTAGGAACGCAGTTTGGAGGGCAACTTGACTGACAAAGAAATGCCTCTTCAAATTTTCAGAAAATAACCAGATTCAACTTGACTTTCCAAGTCACACAGTACTTTTTAACCTTAGGGAAAAAAAATCCAGTCTTAATAGGAAAGATAAAAATTAAAGAGAAACTGAGAGAAATTATATTGATCTTTACCTTTTGCTATCTCCTGTCGCTAGTGCTGTTACTTTTATGTCCTCTGCAGTATGTGCTGTGGCATTTAGACTCTGTCAAGTTTAATGAATTTAATACAAAAAAATTTACTGAACCAGAAAATAGATGCACTTAAAACAGTTCAATATTTGCCAACTTAGCGGTTCAGCATATCACCCACATGCTTCAGTGACAACCCCATGACTTGCTGGCCGGAGAGAAATTGATCCCCAGCCTTCCAAACAAGCTACCTGTTGCTAATTTGGAAAGTGAAATGCTGAGTTCCATTTTGCCATTTTGAAAGGAAATAAATTGTTGCAGCCCCTCAAACTGAGAAAAGTTCAACCAAAGACTCCTTAGCTTGGTAGTATTTAAAATCTCACACTTACGTGCCCACTATCATACATACACACACACAGGCACAGGCAGAATTTGTTTGTGTAACTACAGAGTGGGTTTTGTGATTCTATGAAATGTCATTATACACCTCCTATCAGCAATCAATTCATGGAAAACTGAAATGCCTACATGTGGTTAACATCACTTATTTTTGAAAGCATAGAAAGGAAAAGGGAAATTACTGTGATCTCTGGTATGATATGATAAAAATATTGAGATTTCTTTCATCATTTTGGCCTATATTTGATTAACATTTGTCTCTATTCTGGTTATACCCTTAAAATATGGTAAAACAGTACATTCAAATACATTAAGTAACTATTCTGTTTTTTTTTTTTTTTTTTTTTTTTTGGTCCGCGGGCCTCTCACTGCTGTGGCCTCTCCCGTTGTGGAGCACAGGCTCCAGACGCGCAGGCTCAGCAGTCATGGCTCAGGGGCCCAGCCGCTCCGCGGCATGTGGGATCTTTCCGGACCGGGGCACGAACCCACGTCCCCTGCATCGGCAGGCGGACTCTCAACCACTGTGCCACCAGGGAAGCCCACTATTCTGTTTTTAACTAATATAATTCTGGAGCGATTTGAGTGAAAGCATACTGAAGATTTAAAAGCAATGTTATATTCGTCTGATGAGTGTATATACTCCCAAGAAGAGAGAGAAAATGATTTATAAAGGTGGAGTGGGTTACCTACAGAAATTATTCTAAGCCATTACTGACGACTTTTAATATCTATTCATTCGAAGTATATTTCCCTAATAATTGTGCATCTGCTTAAAGAAGACTATGGCAATACGAGAATGCACTCAACCCTGCTTAGTATGTAGATCATTGTTACTTTGCTAATTTAATCATTTTGAAAATTCATTTTACATTTAGATCCATCTCTGATAGAAACAGACCAATTCCCTGATGCTCAAATAAGGAAAGAAAATGTTTCAAAAGTTTGTTTCTCTATTTTCATTTACCTCTTCCTCTTTAGAAATTGAAATGGATATGGGAATATCTTGTGCTAGAAGCCATCAAGCCTCAGATGGCCAGGATGCCCTAAATGACCCAGGGCAAAGGCAGCTAAGTCCCCTGAGAAATAGGGGTCAGCACCTTTTGGCAGAGTTACCAAGGTATATGTATGTCAGCTCCACAGGACCACACAGCACCACAGTACTGCCAAACAAGAACTTTTACTAAACCAGCCAAGGAAATCTGCTCTGTTTTGAAAGGAGCATATTCAAGTGAGAAACGGCTTGAGCAGTGGGATGATTTAATACTTGTTAGCTGATAAATATAGACTTTGCTGGAATAAAACTTTATGATGCAGGGTTGAAAAGCTTAATTACTAAACTGTCTATACACATCTTGCTCAGGCAGCAAGGGTGACAAATTATAGCAGTCAAATAGTATTTTTCACCTCTGGCATTTCTGAAGGGGAAAAGTATGCCTAAAAACATCGAGAAAGCAGTAATAATCCCAGACCAGATATTACTGAGGGAAACGAAGACACGTCATTGAGTCACCAAGTCTTCTGTGCAAAATGCCACCATCACCACCCCTCCGCCTACTTACTACCTTGTTAAGTAAAAAGAACAAGGTCAATTTTACATTTATCTGGCATTTTATACATATATATATATATATATATATATATATATATATATATTTCCATCCTCCTAACATCTTGTGAAATAAACAGAGCAGAGAATTCTTATTCACATTTGACAAATGAGGAAACTGAGGCACAGAGATTGGCCAACCAAGGTCACATCATCAAATGCAGGACAAGAACCCAGGCCTCCCATGACCCATTTCTATTTACATGGCACCATGCCGGTGCCAGATGAACATGATAATTAAAGCTGAACTGAAATATTAGTTGGAGGTGCAGTCAGCACCATGTGGCCCTCTTACTGATGTTTCATTTCAGAGAGCTAACACTAATCCTGATGTGATGTATACAGGAATCTAATATAGAATAAAGTCTCCGTAAGTACTAGCTAAGTGATTTACATTCCTGTCATTTTCATTTGCTGGTTTATTTCCTTCTTTGGGGGGCACTTGCTGTGAAAAATGGCTGTATCCTAACGACACTGAATTTCAACCCTGCAGTAGTTGGTTAACAAACAGGCTTCCTCTGCATTCAGCATTTCCTTCTGTATTCCTCTTTGTCTCTCTATTCCCTTTGTTTCATTCTCTCCTCTATTAGTTTCTACCATTTCTTTCTCCCCTCTTATTTTTCCCTCCCACTTCTTACCCTGTGTCCCTTCTCAGAAATCTGGAATATAAATGCGATCACATTATGACTCATAGCATTTGTACTTTTTTGCTTTAATATAATCTCTTTTCTCTAAAATTTAAAGCAGCCAATGCTGCATTTTATTCAAGTTGATAGGATAATCATTATTTTGATTTTTCAAAAGTAATGCAAGAATTCAAAACTATCTGTAGCTTTCAGGGATCTCAGTGCTAATAACCTAAAATATATATGCAAATCATGGTATCAGGCTCTGTGGTGGACACAATGGAATATAATTAGCCACCTCCACCTAAAGATGCTAGTTAGGGGAAGACAAGTCCCATAGAGTGGGAGGCATGGTAAAGGTACATGTTGGTGGAATCGCAGATAGTAAATAAGATGCTGTATCTCACGAAACTGGGAATCCTAAGAGAAAGAACCATGTTTCCTTGGAAGAGAGAGGGTCTCCAAACAGAAGCAGAGCTCCATCAAGAAAACACTTTCGACAGCATCCCTCCCCTCCACACCATAGCTGGGCAGACCTGGCTGACTCTAGGAATCCAAACTGGGTATCAGAGTGGTCAGGACAAGTGAGTACTTTCTGTGGAGAAGGCTCAGTGAAACACAGAATGTAGTCTCTGGGAAAAGGAAAAAGCCTTGGCAAACCTCAGACTAGCTAGTTCAGGACTGAGCTGCTAGAATCCAGTCTGGAATGTCCTTGTGTTTCAGCCAGGTAAGCCAGGGAGGGTTGAAATAGTATTGTGTCCTGTGTTTCCTTCTCAACAGACAGTAATTATAGTCCACTTAAGAGTTCACAGCAGAATCCATCAAACGAACCTGCTAAGGAGAAAGAATTTCTAAAGAGTGTGTTAATTGAAAAGGCACGCAGAATCATAGAATCCTGGAACGTCTAAATTTAGAGCAACTTGGAGACCATTTAGACCAGTTCTTAGCCATTTTGGATTTTGAACCTACTAGAGAAGCTATGGAAAGCTGTAAGATTTTCTCCAAACAACAGCAACAAAAATAACGATGCACATAGAGCCTGCTGGCTAGCTGCCTGTTTTTGTAAATAAAGTTTTATTGGAACGTAGCCTTGCCCACTTGTTTGTGTATCATCTGTGGCTGTTTTTGCACTACAACAGTAGCGAGGGGTGTTTGCAACAGAGACTGTATAGCCTACAAAGCCTAAAATAGTTCCTATCTTGTCTTTTAAGAAAAAATTTGCTGACTCCTGTTTTAGGGGGTTACAAACCCTCCAAAATCTATTTTTAAACACCCGGAGGTCTATGGACCTCAGATTAATAACATCTAAATCTCCATCCTATTGCTTTATGTAAATATAGGCATAACTTAGATCCACACATCCGGTCCATTGTTCCGTGATCCTCTGCCCCATTGTAAATCCTTTAAGAGGAGCAGTACCGCTTGGCACTTAAAAACACATCCCCTGGAGTTAAAGAGATCTGTATTGTAATCCAGACTTTTGCTCCTCATTGTGTGACCTTGCAGTTAAATAGCCTCACAGCCTCCTTCATCACTGAAAAATGAGTTAGTGGTAGCTGCCTCATAAGATTTTTCTGAGGCTTAAATATATATAAAACCTTAAGAGAGTACTGGACACATAGTAAGTGCTTAATAAATGATAGCAATGATGGTAGTGATGATGAAGGGGAAGAAGAAAAGGGAGGAAGAAAGTATAAGCAGATCCTCCTGGTGCCTCTGAGGCCCCTGCGAAGGCCAGTTTCCTCTGCATTTGCGTAGGACAAGTAGGAGAGTTGATGGTAAGGAGAGTTTGTCCATTGATTAAATGATGGTGAAACTCGGTAACAGCTCTAGGTTTCTTCAAAACCTTCATGAAACAGAACAGCAGGGGCTACCTGAACCCAGCTGTGGGCCACTTTCTTTTTCCTTTTTTTGGTAAGTAGACGCTTGGGGAAAAGGTGGTTTGCTCTAAAGTGGTCCTTGAAAAGAAACCAGGGCTAGGTCATTACCAGGAGTAGGGATGAAGTAAACTAGAAGCATTCTCTGCAGTGAACGGTGTCTTCTCCTTGGCAAGTGTGTGCGCTGAATGCAAAGAATTGCACGCTTGAATTGGATTCTGCTGAAGATTATTTACTTAAATCTCTGAAACGCTGTGAAAACTGGGAGTGAGTTAGTTCACATTCTTGACATGTTTGGCTAAGTATGCAGATTCGTTTCCCGTCCCTGGCCTTCATTTTAAAAAGCCCAACTCCTGGTAAGTTCTATGACATCCCGAACCTACCACTTTCTAGATGTGTCATCTTGGACCAGTTTCTTATGTCTCTGAGCCTCAGGAGCTTCATCTATAAAATGGGGATACTAATTTTACCTGCCCTGGGGTTATCCTGAGTGTTATGGAATATACTATGTAAAGTGCTTAGCACTGTGCTCTGCACATAGAAAATAACAAATGTGAGCTGTTATTATTACTATTATTGTTAGAGAAATATGACTTAGGAAAATCATTCCCTCTCATAACCATCACTGCACCTCTAGGTAGCTTTAAATCTCGCTAGGAAGCCAGTTCATTATAAACTCAGTGGGGACTGTAAGTTTGGCCTTAGTTAGAGTCATTTTTCCTCAGAAATTCTTACTGACCCTTGAGTGAATAAATGAATAAATGCTTTATGGTTTATTGTAATGCTCCTTAACATACCCTGCACAGGATCCTGGTTTTCCTCCGCCAATCTAGTCTCCCCACTCTTGTGATACCAATCACATGTGTATTGTACTAACTGGTTCAATATCTACTTGCCATCCACAGAAGCAGGGGGCCGGGCACATAGGAGGTACTCAGGAAACATCTGTTGATCCAATGAATGAATGCATTCAACTAATGAACACTTCTTATTTTAATTGCATCAAGTACCAAAGTAAAACATTGCTGATACAGAATTATCCCATAGAAGAAAAATGTACCAACCTTATCCTCAGTAGAGGAGATAATTACAACAGTACCTACATTCTCCCTGTTTGGT